AGGGGGGGGGGGGGGGGGAGAGTCACCAGGTGAGGATTAGCAAAAAAAAAAAGAGAGAGAGAAAGAAAGAACAGAGCTGTTTGACTGGTTTCGGGGTCTGCATGTGTGTGCGCCTCTTGTCCAAGGGGAAATTTTAATTTGATTTGAAAATAAATATTAGCCAGGACTACCTCCTTCTGCTTTTATTATAGAAGCATAGTTCCTATTTCACTAATTAATCTCAAATTACTCCAAACTGACGGAAGCATAAGTGAATGTGAGGATGCAGGGGACACTGGAGATAGTGCTTTGGAATCTAAGTCACCTGAAATATTCAGAACCATAACTCTCTCCTTGAGATGTAATCCATGTTGTATATTTCTGAGCACTGTAAACGTTAAACAAGGTCCGTTTTCTGGGGTTGTGGTCAGTTCATTGCCTTTGATGAAGATGGATGGCTAGGAAAGAAATATATTGTGAGTCTTCCAATTAAAGAACTAGTAGTCTGATGTTCTTGAATGCTCGTGGGGAAGAGAAGGGGACAGAGAGCCCAAACGATCTCCCATTGCTCTCTATAAAGAGATTCGTTTTATGTGCAGTTTTCCAAGGCCTCAAGAATGTCAAGTTCTTTATGCTCTTAACCCTTTGAGCTAATAGTCAATTTAAATTGTCAATTAAAAGAGGGCTTAAAGTGTTAGATTTTTAAAGACACATTGAGCCCTAGCCGGTTTGGCTCAGTAGATAGAGTAATGGCCTGAGGATTGAAGGGTTCCAAGTTTAGCGCTGGTCAAGGGCACATACCTAGAGTACAGGCTCAATCCCTGGCCCTGGTCAGAGCACATGCAAAAGGCAACCAATCAAGGTGTTTCTCTCACATCAATGTTTATCTCTGTCTCCCGCTCCCTTCCACTCTCTCTTAAAAAAAATGGAAAAATACCCTTGGGTGAGGATTAACAAAAAAATACACATTGATTGGCTGAAAGAAGCTAATGCCATCCTGGTGTCTTTTAAAACAAACTCAAAGAAAAAATGTACCTGAGGTCCCCTACGGCCTGTTTAGAACTTGACCCTGCACAGAGCACTGAGCCAAACTACTCTTCCCTAGGTGGCAGCTGCGTGAGGAAATGTGGGCCTGGCTCCTACAGCGACACAGAGATGGGCAGCTGTGAGCCCTGCCACCGAGCCTGTGAAACCTGCACCGGCCTGGGCCATGACGAGTGCAGCAGCTGCCCACCGGGACTCCAGCTGCTGCAGGGGACCTGCGTGGCTCCCACCCAGGCCCAGACAGAAGGCACATTCTGGAATGGTATGTGTCTCCCCAGGGCGATCGCAGGTGTCCGGCTGCCTTCTCGGCCTCCCGACCTCTTTAACCCTTGCTTTCGGGATACCAAGAGATGAAGGCCGGGCAGTGAAACAAAAGCCTGGGATGAGAATCAAGACCAGGTCTCTTCGATGATGAAGGCAGCAGAGGGAAGGAGGCTGTAGCTGGCTTTTGGCCAGGAGGGAACACCTAAAGGCACTTGAGTTTCCACAAAGGTGGAGCAGGCCTCTGAGTGCATAAAGAGTCAGAGAGAGGTGGCCCGACCACCATTTTCTTGAAGATTTAGGGATAGCTTCTATCGTTCCTGTATCTCTTTATTAAGGTAAAGGAAAGCTGCCAATAGGGTAGGCTATTTCAGTGAAGCAAGGAAGAACTGCTCTGAAGTCCTGGAACTTAAGCTAAAACGGCTGATCTGTCTGGATGGGTTATTAGAAATGGCCATCATTCGAGCTTTGCCTTTTAACAGCTGCCCTCTCCAGCTGCAGGTGGGAAAGTGGGGTCCTGAGAGGGGTGGGAGTGAGGGGGAAGGTGGCAGCTTGGACTCTAGCAATAAAGGCCCGCACGTATCATTCCCACCGAGTCTTCAGAACTGGCCGCCTCGCCTTGGAGCCTCGGCCACAGGCTTCCTTGCAAGGTGATCACAGACTTGGGTGGCTTCTCCACATCCGAGGAGGTTACAAAACGAAGTCCTCCTCCTGCTGGGAAAATCTGGCTCACTTTCTGTGCAGAGACTCTCGTGAAAACACGAGATGCTCTCTGATTCGGAGGCAAAGATTTGTTTAAAAAAAGAAGGTCATCTCAGTGCAGAAGCAACGGCAGCTGAAAGGAGGTTCTGCTCAGGACAGGACTTCTAAGGGCTGGAGAGAGTGAGGGATGGCGCAGGAGGAGAGCTGTGGCTGGGTTTCAGGGGAGGGACCTCTGTGGCTGCTTGTCTACCACGACAGCACTGCCTATGCAACAAAGGAAAGGCGGCTCGGAGACCGTGGCACACCCAGCAGCCAAAGGCCACAGAGAACACAGGCCGGTCTCAGGGACAGAGCTGGGAAGAAAACCATTCAATCCAGACTGGGAGATCTTCCGTGAATTGTAGCTGAACCAAAATGCTGAAAACGAGTTTGTCTGCCATTCAGGCATTTAAGAGGCCGTGCAGGCCAAGGGGAAAATAGTCTGGTGCTGTGTTTCTAGCTCAGAACATCTGTATTCTATCTGGCATCCAGATGATGAAAACGTCTAGGGAGCCAAGAGGCATAGCAGACTTGATCTCCCAAATGATTACACGTCCCTTTCAACTGGACTACGCACTTTGCTAGGCAGAAACCAGGCCTTGATTGCTCCCCTTTGTCAAGGCACCACACCCACCCCTCCACATTTTCTACTATCAAAATGTAATGTTTTTGAAGAGAGAAAGGAATTAGTCCGTTTGGGGATTTAGCAGCAATAAAAGATGGGGAAGCAGATGAGAATGATTCTCATGGCTGGACAAAAGCAATAAAGGCAAGGCCATGGCTGCACTTTTCCACTTCTATGATCTAGGAAAGTAGACGTGCAGACTCTTGACAGCGAGAAAACACTGTTCCTTCTCTGAGCCAGGGCAGACTCGCCTTCCCCAGCACAGGTGAGGCACCTCTGAAACAGACAGCGAGGGGGAAAGAGCTCTGGAAAGCCCCAGGAGTATCTGAGTGGAGGCCATATTTCTCTCTGCTTCTTTTCCTTGAAAAAACAAGGTTGAAAGTGTAACAGGAGAGCAGGTAGGGGGGTCCCAGAGACCTAATCAGCCACACCTTGAAGATGATGGAAAGCAGACTGCAGTCATTCTGGGCCAACTTAGAGGGAGCCAGACAAATTACAGGGTGTTTATGAGAGGGTAGGTGATACCAGTAAGGTAGTGGTATTGTTTTAAATGCAGGTGCAGATCCAGGTCGGGAAGGTAAGATGGGACAAAGTTCAGTCCTTCACCCACACTACTCCCTAGTGCAGTGATTTTCAACCTTTTCCATCTCGTGACATAAACTAATTACTAAAATTCTGTGGCACACTGTCCTGGCCAGCGTGGCTCGGCTGGTTTTGGAGCGTCGTTCCCTGCACCGAAAGGTTGCACATGCCCAGGTTGTGGGTTCATTCCCTGGTTAGGGCTTGTTCGGGAGGCAACTGATCGATACACTCTCTCTCTCTCTCTTCCTCTCCTAAATCAATTAAAAAGAAATTCTGCAGCACACCAAAAAAGTCTATCTTTGGCCAATCTGGCAAAAAATAGGTATAATTTTGGTTCATTCACACTGGATGGCTATTGTTGTGTTGGCTGCTGTCATTTTTTATTTGACAATCTAAGGGAAAAGAGGTCAGTGCCCCTGACTACATAGTCAGGTATCGCATGTCTTAAAAATTCCTATGGTACACCGGTTGAAAATCGCTGCCCTAGTGGAAACAACAAGATCATGCTTGCATCTAAAGACTGTGCCACCCCCACTGTCTATGTCAGCATGTATTGGGGGGAAACCCTTGAAATAAAAGTCCAACTAGAGCTCACTGAACTCCTCTTTCAATAAAGAGGCTACTCACAATGAGAGTGACAGTGATGAGAGGACCATCATTCTTCCTCGACTACCAACAGAGTGGGAATACCTCCCACCCTAGTACAAGGATGGAGATCCCTACACATCAGCCAGGCCTGCCAAATCCTCCAGCTGAGACTCAGGAATCTCCAAAGAGAGCAGCTCAGCCTCTGTTCTGCCTGCCCCAAAGGGCACTGCACGAAAGTATAGGTCACCCCCAGGCCCCCTGTCCCAGTCATCCATATACTGTAAAGATTAATTACACCAGTACCACAGCCAGTGTTAAGTAGGCTGCTAATGATTTTGGGGTGACTCAGGCATCACAGAGCCACTGCTGGCGGAAGTGTTCAGGTGTGAAGGCTGGTGGAAATGTTCAGGGCTTTGAAAAAAAAAAAGATAATGGCCTCCGCTGGTTTCCTGAAACCACTCTTGGGTATGGAAACAGTTTACCCCATGACTGTTAAATCATTCCGATTTCCTTAAGTGGCTTTCCTCCTGTGACGCCGGAAAGTCCTGCATAATTCCCTACCCACCTAGTCGCACCACTGATTAAAACCATGTTTGTAGCGGGCTCTAATTACACATTTTGATGGTAGTCTGATCTGCAAAGCACAGATATGGTGAATTAACGTTTTATCTTTGACCACATCCTAACAATTTATCACTAGTAGCCTGTCTTTGGATCTGAATTCCTATGCTCTGAGAAAGGCTGAATCCCAGTCAGTCACAAACACTGAGAGCCACTCATGTGTGAAAAAAAATCTCAATAATGGGAAACGTGTTTCTAAACATTAGAGAACTTAAAAGAAGGACTTTGTCAATGTATACAATGGCCTCACTTAGAAATCGTTGTTACTTAATTAACCAATCAGAACTCAGAGTGCAGAAAACACGTCTCTAGGTAAGTAATTCAACCTTTTGCCTGATGGCATGAAAGAGCTGCGTATATCCAGTTGCACTGATTGTTACATATCCAGGAATTTTATAAGTGGGTTATAACATCATTGGCAGTTTGAAATCAAGTTTTTTGTTTTGTTTTGTATTCCAAAGAGACATTTTACCAGCACAGCACTGCTTTGGCGTCTACCAAACGATTTTACAATCCAAATTAAGTACGACAACATCTCTGGAGTGGATGAGAGTTAGGCATGCCTGAATTCAAGTCCTGGCTCTGTCCTTTACTAGCTATGCGTGAACAAGTTACACAGCCTCTCTGAGCCTCAGTTTCCTCACCTATAAAATGAGAACGTGAAACTACCTCACACGCGCTTGAGAATTAAATGAAAGAGCACATATGAAGCTCCAAGCACATAATATGACACAGTAAAAGCTCATCTATTCCCTAACCCTTTAACCTGATCCAGTTTTAACACATGAAATACTAGTTCACTTTCAAAACAGCCTTCCTTTCCTCATGAAAAAGAGAAACCGGGAGTCTGGAGGGTACTACAGGTCTGGGAAAAATAGTCCCCGAAAGAGGGCAGCAGATAATGCTCAGTTGGGATGCCAAATAGCCAGGCAGAGTCCGGACTCAACCAAGAATGTATATTCGCAAATATATTAATTGCAGCTTTATTTATAATAACAACAAAAAATTAAGTGAATTGTGGTTCATGCAAATAAATACACAAACCATTAAAATGATGTGTATAAAGAATCATAACGGCAAGATAAAATGCCTATAAGATTTATAACATTAAATGCAAAATATATTTAAGGCATAAAACATTTTTGCAATTTTTTTATTTTACTTAAAATAAAAAAATTACGTGAACTACAGTTCAGGCAAATAAATTCACAAACCATTAAAAATAATGTTTACAAGGAATTTCAATGGCAAGAGAAAATGCCTATAGGATTTATAATAATTTAATGCAAAATGTAGGGTCGGTATTACATATGCAGAAAATGTGAACGATTACCCATATATACACTACACTCACACATTCACTATAAAGATGAAAAACCTATAAATTCTATGCAGCAGACATTTCTGGGTGGTAAGATGATAGGTGAACTTTATCTTCTTTATCCTTTTTGCATTAAAAAAATAAAACTTTATTCTTTTCAATAAAAAAGAACCTGTGCTCACTTCAAGTCCATCTTTGGTGAAGAGCCTGCTGCAGAAGCAACGAAGGTGGAAGTTTCAAATCAAAAGAGGTAACGGAAATAGGGAGGAGAAGGCAATCCTAACGAATCAGGAGTCTCTGAGCCGTTGAAACCAACCCAAGAAACTGGGCGGCCAGGAGCAAGTGGGAGGAAAAAGCCATGAAAGGAGGGACCACTACACAAAATATAAGTGGGTGCTCCAAAGGGAGAGGCTGGGGGGGAGATCCAGCAGTGGAACCTTCAAGAGCATTTAAAGACATTCCTCATGCGCTAAGTGGCTGCGTCTGTCAGAGGGGGTCTATCAAGAAAAGCCTCACCTTTTACTTCCTTAGTGACTGCAGCATGGTTTGAAATAGCAACGACTGAGAAAAAACTAGATGGTTACAATAGGAGACTAGGAAAATGAAGTAGGATACATCCTTGCAATGGAATGCTGTGGAGTTAGGAACAAGAATGAGGAGGTTCGTTAGGTGCCAATAAAGAATGGTCTCTAAAATATACTCAGTTACCAAAAAAAGAAAAAGGCAACGCGATAAATAGTGTGAGTAGATACAGTTTGTATAAAAAGGGTGAAAATGGATTAGGAGGGAGGCTTCATGATATATGCTTTTTGTACATTTTGAACCATGTATTGCTTATTTAGTAAAATACCCAGAACCCCTGTTTTATGTGGTTGTGCTACAATTATTTTTGAAGGATGGACGCTACATTTTCTTGGTCAAGGTGATTTTTGTTTTCGAGGTCCCATAAAGCTAGAATCACTGGAGAACAAAAAAAAAAAGAGAGAAAAAACAAAGAGAAACTATGGTCAAGGTTAAAATTTTCTTGTTGAGATTAAGTCACTAATCTTTGCCCAGGCTTAATTGCTGTTAAGTGTGTGTACAGAGTACCCTCTAGTGGACGCATGAGGACATTACCAAAAATTTTATACCAAGTGTATCACAGTAAAATAGCAAATTGCCAGGAAGTGAAATATGTCATTGTAAATACATGTGTATGTGTAGATATATGCACAATATTTTAAACAAATATTTTTAAAATTAGTAAAAACTCATATCTTAGTAACTATAACATTTTAGCCAATGTTTCTCTCTGTCTTCCCCTCTCTTTTCCACTCTCCCTAAAAATCAATGGAAAAATATCCTCGGGTGAGGATTAACAAAAAAAACACACATTTTTTTAAATGATAAAATCAAAAGAAAATCAGCCCATGGCCTGGACATATATTAAAGATTTTCAAGGTTCTCAATGTCTGATCAATACTTTTTATGAATAATTGCTCTCAGCCACTAATGAAGCCTTTCTTTTCCCGTTTCACTGACATATAATTAACATAATACTATGCTGTTTCAATGGGTATAACATGACAATTGACATATGTATATACTGCAAAATGTTCTCCACAGTAAGATTAGTTAGCACATCCATCACCTCCACAGTTACCTTTTCTTGTGATGAGAACTTTTAGGATCTACTCTTAGCAATTTTCAATTATCCAATACAGTATTATTAATTATAGTCACCATGCTGTAATCACATTCCAAGAATTGATTCATATTATAACTGAAAGTTTGTACCCTTTGACCACCTTCATCCATTCCCTCACCACCACCCCACCACCCCAGCCCCTGGCAACACCAATCTACTCTGTTTAAATGAGTTTGGTTTTTTAAGATTCTACATATGAGATCATAGAGCCTTTGTCTTTTTCTGTATTTCTCTTGGCATAATGTCCTACGGCAGGGTTTCCCTCTTTTTATGGATGAATATATCCATTGCACATACAGGGTGGGTCAAAACTTACAGTTGTTCATATGGAAAATAATACAATAATTAATAAATAGTAAACAAGGGTAAACTGTTTCATGTACTCACAACTGTAAACCTACTTTTGTCCCACCCTATATATCCCATATCTTCTTTATCCATTAATCCATTGATGAACATCTGGGTTGTTTCCATGTCTCAGCTATTGTAAATAATGCTGCAATGAACACTGTGTGCAGTTATCTCTTTGAGATAATGATTTCATTTCCTTTGGGTAAATACCCAGAAGTGGGATTGCTGGGTCACAGGGTAGTTCTATTTTTAATTTTTTGAGGAACCTTCATACTATTTTCCATAGTGGCTGCACCAATTTATATTCCCACCAACAGTCCATGGGATGTCCCCTTTCTCCACATCTCTCACCAGCACATGTCTCTCTTGTCCCTTTAATAAGAGCCATTCTAATAGGAGTGAGGTGAGGTGATAGCTCTTTGTGATTTTGATTTGCATTTCTCTGTTGATTAGTCAAAAGTGATGTTAGCAACAAAACTGTTGCTCATCTCTCTGCTGCCCTCTTTTTTGGGTTAAGTGATTTGTCAAATTAAAAGGGCCTTCAGGGAAAAGACTCAATCATGTTAAATCATGTGGATTACTTTTGTGAAAATCCTGTGACTAGCATTGCTCTGCACAGGACTAATTGAGCTTCTTTTCTTTCTCTCTCTCTCTCTCTCTCTCTCTCTCTCTCTCTCTCTCTCTCTCTTCTTTTCTTCCTCTCTCTCTCTCTCACACACACACACACACACACACACACACACACACACACACACACACCCCTCTCTTAAGGAGACTACCTCAATCAGTCTACTAGAAACCCAGGGCAAGTTTTTCTCTAAGAAAAAGACTGCCACTCGGGATGGCAGGATGGACAATCACGTATATCTCTATATCTACATCCGTATCCACCCACCTACCTTTGAATCTAGCTTTCTCTGTAGCAAGGCTCACCAGCTAATTAACCATGAGCGCCATCATAGAAACCAAGCCATGCCAAGAGAGGGAATGTGGCAAATGATAACAAGGAAATCAGGAGAGAGGAGAAAGGAGGCGATGAGCTACCATTTACTGAGCTGCTGTGTGCACTCCACACACATTATCTCATTTAGTCTTCACTACAGTCCTATCACTACAGGGAAGAATCACTCTCATTTTAGAGACCTGGAAAAGTAGGGCTCTGAGAGTTTAATTATTGTATCCACGGTTACCCTACCTGGCAGCACATCTGGGATCTGAAGACAGGTGTGACTAAAGAGCCAACTCCACCAGACTGACTCTCAGAAAGAGAAGGCATTCTCAGGAAGAGAGTAAGGAAGAAAGGGAGGGAGGGAGGGAGGGAGGGGGAAAAGAAAGAAAAGAGGGGAATGGCAAGATGCCAACGTAACAGTTGACTAAAGGTCAGAGTCATTCATATGACACATTCTGAACTAGAACTTCTTTTTCTAATTTTCCTGTGTCAGTCATGCTGATTCCTAAACAATTACTGAAATTTAGTTATGATCTCAGTGTATACTGAATGATGTCCTTGAGGTCATTATCTATGTCTGTTGTTTGTTGTTGTTTTTAAGATTTTTTAAGTTGATTTTTAGAGAGAGGGGAAGGGAGAGAGAAACATCGATATGAGAGTGGAACATCTGTGAACGGCCTCCTGCACGCTCCCTACTGGGGATCGAGCCAGAAACCCAGGCATGTGCCCTAATCAGGAATTGAACCAGAAATCTTTTGGTGCATGGGATGATGCCCAACCAACTGAGCCACACCAGCCAGGGCTCATGTATGTCTTTGAAACTTTCTTAAAAAGCCTGTCCATCAAATGCTCTTGGCGGGAAAGAGAGAGGAGAAACAGTGCTAATGTTTCCTTGGTTGGCCTGCTTATCACCTGACCAACCAGAAAGCTTTTGGGTGGCTCCAGTTTGGTGATAATGATGATTTGGGACTAATTTAAGGTGAATAAGTTCTGGATGCATTCCACCATGGCTACTCTGAAGAACAAAGACCCAAACATTGACCAACTATGAAATCTGGTTTCAAAGAACAAAAAAAAATTAATAATAAGTTTTTCATGAAAGACACAATGAATTCTCCTTTATCACTTTGGAATGAAGAGAACTGGCCATTGAAGAATCATGGGGAAATAACTCATTCATGTGTGTATACACACAAGCACACAAACACCCCCACACATTTTTAATAGCTGGTTTTGCTCAGTGGTTAGAGTGTCGGCCTGCAGATTGAAGGGTCTCGGGTTTGATTCCAGTCAAGGGCACGTACCTGGGTTGCAGGCTCAATCCCCTGCCCCAGTTGGGGTACATGAGGGAGGCAAGCAATCGATGTATCTCTCTCACATCGCTATTTCTCTCTCCGTGTCTCTTCCACTCCCTCCACTTTCTCTAAAAAAAAAAAAAATCAATGGAAAAAATATCCTCAGGTGAGGAGTAACAAAACCAAACAAATAAATAAATAACATTTGTTAGTTCAAATGTCCCCTTAGCATTAAAGACTATCCTGTCTCTGGAAGTTTGCAAAGAAAGTCTTGGCAATCAATTGTCAATGAAAGAGTAAGAGTAAGAAAAAAATGAAGTCCACATTCATTCATTTGGTAGGCCAAAGCTGGCGCCAACATTTAGCTAAGACAAAAATCTACTTGGGGTGGGAAAGGAGACAGGATTGCCCATGAGATCTTTTCCAATACTATAAGCCTGCTCAACAGAAACTGACTTCTTGTTCCTTTTCCCTCTATAGACGTTTTAAGAAAGCAGCAGCCGTGTCATTCCTCTTGTAAAACCTGCAATGGATCTGAAACCCTGTGCACTTCATGCCCGAAAGGTTAGTGTGGAGTGTGACAGGCGGTGGCCGTGACCAAGCCAATTCACGGCAACTCATGTATGTTAGCACCTTTAGTAAGGGGTTTGCAGGACTTGATCTAGTCCCATCACATGTTCCTATTACAGTGGCTACTCTGGAGCAACACGGCACCCAAACATGGACCTACAATAAAAACTGGCTCTCAAAGGACCAAAATGAAAAAGAAATGTTTTTTATCTAAAGCATGATGAAGTTAGCAACTGCTTTGGCCACAGAATTTGTTAGGTCTCTGGGTACTTGACATTTCTAGGGGTTCCCCTGCTGTTTTAGAATGCATTAGCCAAAACAAGAGAACTTACAGTGGACAATCTAGGTGGGGATCAGTAGTCTGCCTATTGTTTCTTCATTTCTGGTGCTGAATTTAGAGGAGCAAAAACACACAAGCAATATGTAACGGCTTAACGAATTAATTGCTTCATCATCTATAAAAACAAAACATCAGAAATAACTTCACTGAATTAGGGAGATATTTTATTAACATGGTGCACTAACATTAAAAATTAAGAATGTTATGCTCCCATTAAAGTGATTATTATGTACAATGTTAGCAGTGAGATGGGATGCAAAAGCAACAGAATTTAAAAATGGAACGTGTGCCATGACTCTACTCCAACAAAATAGGAAAGTTTGCATACAAAAATTGAAGGAATTGTCTTGGAATTCTGAAGGGTGATTTATAAATTGTTTTCTTTAATAATGTTGCTATCTGATTTTTTCAATTAAAAACAAACATAGATGGACCATTCGTTGGGTGGGAGAGTTGCTACTATGTTAGTGTCTTAATGAGATAGGCTTTGGGAAGCCAAATAGACTCTACCAAGCTGTGCGTGTGTAACCGTCTTACACCAGAAAGACAGGCAAAGGTGTTAATAGATCGTTCAACCAGGCAGAGGGAAGCCCCAAAGTGACCCGCATCAGTATCAGTAGGAAGTAAAAGAAACAGGGCCAAAGCCTCCTGCTGTCAATTTCCTGTCTGGAGATTTAACCCTCCTTTTGATAAGTATGAGCTACTTGGATCTTTGGGGCAGTTTAAAAAGCTGCTGCGAGCACCAGTTCTCTGCAAGGATGTTCGTGCTGTCAGAGGGACACACTGACCGCCTGATCTGCCTTCTTCCCTGGGTTTCCAGGCGCATATCTGTTGGCTCAGGCCTGCGTCGCCTCCTGTCCCGAAGGCACGTGGCCCTCAGTGAGGAGGGGCAGCTGTGAGAACTGTACAGAGGCCTGCGCCTCCTGCTCTGGAGCCGATCTCTGCGACAAATGCCAGACGCAGCTGGAACACCCTCTCTTCCTCCACGAAGGCAGGTGCTACACTGGGTGCCCTGAGTAAGTCTCCTTTCCTTTCACGTCCTGCTTGTGTTCATTTTCCTGCAGTAATGTGGATATGATTCCTTCCTATCACCAAAGAACTCTTCCCTCCCGGGTTACAGCACCTACCAGTGTCCCTCCCTTTTGACTGTCCAACATCACCACTGGCCACAGCAGCCAAAACTTAATGCCAGATGCCCACTTCTCTCTTATGATGATTATATGTATATATTTTTACTTTTGTGAAATTATGTTTTTCCCCACCTTTTATTTATGATCAAGTAGCTGTCTTTTCGCCATCACAAAAATAAGGCTGTGGAACACAAGAAACTCTTCTGTTTAAAATAGGTGAGATCTGCCCAGCCGGTATGGCTCAGTGGTTGAGCAACGACCTATGAACCAGGAGGTCACGGTTCAATTCCCAGTCAGGGCACATGCCCGAGATGCAGGTTCAATCCCCAGTAGGGGGCATGCAAAAGGCAGCCAATCAATGATTCTCTCTCATCACTGATGTTTCTATCTCTCTCTCTCTCCCTTTCCCTTCCTCTCTGAAATCAATAAAAATATTTTTAAAATAAAATTTAAAAAAGTTAGGTGAGATCTGAATCAAAGATAATGAAATACCTGGTGAAGTATTTATTAATGGCTTTTCCAGCCCTCTGGTTTATCAATCCTTTTCTCCTCCTATGAATGCTCCCACTTCCAAGATGTAACTAAAAGGGAAGTGGGAATAGCAAATGGGAAGGTATATCCGGAAACTTCCAGTGACAAGCAACAGAAATGCCAAGTAGACTGACTGAAACAATACAGGGTTTATTATCTCACATAACAAAGCGTTTAGCAATCCAGTGGCCAACACTTCATTAAAAACCCACTATCTTTCCATTTTGCTCTTGTATCTTCCTTAGTTTGTCCTCCCCTGAGCCACGCTGTCTGCCCCATCTGCACACATCACCACCGCCATTGCAGCAACCAGAGACAGAAAAGGGCAGGATTCTCCTAGTTTATCTTTTTTCAACAGGAAAAAAAACTTCCTCAGATTTCCCTTCACATCTCATTGGCCAGAATGCTTCACTTACAGCTTACGTCACTGGCAGGGAGAATGGAAATAAAAGCATCACTTTAGGCTAAACAAGACTCACCCTTGAAAACCCAAATAAAATCAGAACATGGGCAGCCAGGAAGACTGGAGAGGGAGGCGAGAAGTGAGTTTGGGGAGGCAACCAACAGAATCTATTTTAGATAATCAGAAATTTCATTTGCCTGCTGACTAAAAGAACTTGGTGATAAAATCAATACCTATTTCCTAATGACCTACTTGTATCCATTACTGAGACAAATCGTATAGGGTCCAAACACAAATCATGATACCCTCAAGAATCTTCCAATCTAGTATAATATAGAGCAGGGGTCCTCAAACTACGGTCCGCGGGCCACATGCAAATACAAATATTGTATCTGTTCCCATTTTGATTTTTTACTTCAAAATAAGATCTGTGCAGTGTGCATAGGAATTTGTTCATAGTTTTTTTATAAAACTATAGTCCGGCCCTCCAACGGACTGAAGGACAGTAAACTGGCCCACTGTTTAAAAAGTCTGAGGACCCCTGGTGTAGAGCCAACTGCATTTGACTCAATGCTGCAGATCCATATTTAGCACCTTTTGGGTGTGTAAGAATTGATACTGGAAGCTATGTTAAGAGACGTCTGAGCCTGAAAAGGGCCTACAACCCATAGGGGACGTTTACATCAATTACTGCCATACTTCTCAGAGCCTAAATACAAAAAGGGCTAAGAAATTCCAAGGAAAAAGAAACCATATAAAAACAGCTGCTTGATGAGTGTTGGCAAAGTCTAAACACTGCAATAAGCACTTCAAATATGATCCATTAACCCTCACATGAATCTTCTCATCCAGATACTATTATTTTTCCTCATTTTACAGATGAAGAAAGGGGTAAACTTGCCCAACATCACACAACTAGCGCATGGTATGTTAAGGGTCCCACCCCAAACCTCGTGAGCCCTAAGGTCCATGTTTCACCATTGCACAATGCCATGTTCTCAAATGACATGGGTTCCTTTTTTTTAATAGCAACTTTATTGAGATACAATTCACATACCACACAATTACCTATATAAGTGTACATACAATGCAATGGTATGTATATTTATACAGTTGTGTGTTCATCATTACAATTGATTTTAAAATATGTCCATCGTCCCCCAAAAGAAAACTCTGTACCTTTTTAGCAGTTACTCCCAATTTCCCCAGCCCTAAGCAATCACTAATTTACTTCCTGTCTCTATAGATTTGCCTGTTCTTGAACATTTCATATAAACAGAATGCTATAAAATGTGATCTGTTATGACTGGTCTTTTCTACAACATAGTACTTTCAAGTTGTTACTATTTCTGAGAAATCGCCCTTTTGGGTATAATCCATCCTAAAACAGCAATAAGATTTATGACAGGCACACAATTTGCAATGAAACAAAG